TCCTCCAAATTTCAGCGGGGCGGGGGGGAGGGAGCGGGGGAGGAGGCCATAGTTTCTCCCTGGCTCGAAGCGCGAACGAGGTCCTCGAATGTGTCAGGTCTCAAGCTAACCCCGTGTTACAGGAAAAGCTCAGCGCCAATTCTTCCATCACCAGCCACGCCACATCAACTAAGTGCGCATATACTGCCTCATAGACGCGTAGTGGGTACCACGTTGCACCTCATTGATTGATTGATATGTGGGGTCTAACGTCCCAAAACCTCCATATAATTATGAGAGACGCCGTAGTGGAGGGCTCCGGAAATTTCGACCACCTGGTGTTCTTTAACGTGCACCCAAATCTGAGTACACGGGCGCACAACATTTCCGCCTCCATCGGAAATGCAGCCGTCGCAGCCGCGATTCGATCCCGCGACACGTTTCACCTCAGAATGGTGAATAATGGAATAGTGGGTATTTCTTTACATCGCCAAAATAGGGTGATCTTTAGCGTAGTGCACGTACCTCGCAACTTTACTAGCCGTGCAGTCGCCTCAAGGCCATGGCTTGATCAGCTTTCGCTGTAACACGCGGTGCTTGTCCCGGCCGCGCCACGCAGGATAACTAATATTCGTTATTTGTCCGGAAAATTAATTGGTCTTTGTCCTTCGATATCATATGTATACAATATAACTCTTGAACTTGCACTGTGAAACGGTGGGACCTTTTGATCGAGAAATCAGCGATATTTTTTTTTGTTCTAGTTAGTGTATTACATTTTTGTATAATACTTGCAAGTGATCTAAACACTGTATCTTTGAAACTGCTGTTAACCAGCATGGAACAATATTTTTTTTAATTTGTCCGTCATTTTCGACAAAATCATAACCGTTTTACGTACCACCACTCGTGCTTAACACGAGAAGGTCCACAGAACATTGAAATAAATAAATAATAAATAAAAAACACCAGCTTCGCAAGAACATTTTTTTTTTTTTTTGAGAAAGCCTGGCGCGGTGGTGTAGCGGTGCTGGTTCTCGGCTGCAGAACCTACGGTCGGGGGGTTCGACCCCCGGCTGCGACGGCCACATTTCTAGTGAAGAAAAACTGGACCGTGCGGTGTCGCGAAAGAAACGCCAGATGCGTCAAAATTCGCGGGGCCCTCCACTTCGGTCTGCCGCGTAATTATAATGCAGTTCTGGCACGAAAAACCCCCCATATTATTATATTTCTTAATGTGTTATTCTTTTTCAGATCACCCAGGAAACCAGAAGTGCTCAATCGGAAGAGAAATGAAAGTGTCACCCGAGCGAGCAATTTGTTTTTTTTTTTTTTCCTCTTTAATGAGCTGTTAAAGGCGTAGGGTCAACGACACATAGCCAAACGAAAGGAGCACGCACTGTCTGCGACAGCTGACGCATCGAACTTGCGTATACGATTAGCATTGCTAAATGCGGCGCGGCTCAACGTCACGGCGACCCGCGTAAGATGGATAAGCCGCAATCAATGTCCCTAATGCAATAAAGGTCGACTCGCCGTATGCAGACCCCACGCGCGATCTTAAATATGCGCAAACAAGCGTGAGCGGGGATCCTCATTAGATAAGGACGCGCTCCATCCGACCTGATCCGATTAAAACGGTAATTTATTGAGGCTTACTTAGGCGACCGGCTTGGCGGAGCCAACGAGGCAGAGGATTAATTTGGACAACTTTCGCTCTTCCGTCTTCTTGTCCATTATCTCGTGGGTCGCAGTGAAAAATCTGGCTCCACCGGGTTTTTTTTTATTTGTTTTTTCCCTAACGACGCTTTGAAACCACCTTCGGGTGCCCAACTCGCTGCCATAATTATGTTCACATAATGATAAAAAAAAAACATTGACAGCTCACGCGACCCGCAGCGGCGGTCTATAGTGGTTATACGGCGTTCCACTGCTGACCCGCAGGTCGCGGGAGCGAATCCCGGCTGCGGCGGCCCCATTTTCGATGGAGGCGAAAACGCTAGCAGCCCGTGTTCACTTAAAAAGAGATGGACATTGAAGATCTCTAGGTGGTCGAAACTTCCGGAGCCCACCACTACACGGCGTCTCTCATAATCATATGGTGGTTTTGGGACGTTAAACAACAATATATATTACTAAACACTACCACTGCTAGCTGATGATGATGGCATTGGAAGTTCGTGTTTTCATTATATTCATTATGAATTTCATTCCATTTTAACTGTTGATTCATTGTACCGATTTTATTTAGCCGGAAAGTCAAGGGTTTTAGCCCGCCCACGTCGGTCGCCCTTGGAGGGACAAGATAATATCTAGAGTGTTACGTCCCAGAACTGCGATGTGAATATGAGGGAAGAGACGTTGTAGTAGAGCGCTTCGAAAATTTCCACCACCCGGTGTGTGTGTGTGTTTTTTTTTTTGAACGTGTACTAACATCATACAATACAAGGGCGTCTGTAAAACTTCACTTCCAAAGAAATGCGACCGCCTCCGCCGACATCGAACCCGCGACCTTGGGTCAGCAGCCGGGCACCCTAAACCGCTGGAGGGAGGCGAAATTCGAGGCCCGCGCTCTGAGCAAAGCCAGTTAAAGGACGCCGGATTGTCGAAATTTTCTCGAGTCCACCATTATACGGTGTCCCTCGTAATTACACCGTTAGTGCGGCACGCGAAGTCTCCAGGAATTAATTCAAGTTTAGTCGACATTCAATCAAAATAATTCCGAAATAATTTCACACGACTGGCCTTTGGCAATTCAATTCACGTTAACTCGCGTTCGATGCACACCTTATACACATATTATCGTTGTCATCGTTTTCGATAACTTTTGGTGTCAATATATAGTGTTCGATTTTTATTTGCTATCACGGCGTTTTAAAGTAAAAGCAAGTTATTTCTCCACAACCTGAAAAAAAAAAACAGTGCTACTGAAGAGAGGAGAGCGATTGTATTAATTAGCTGCGCATACTCCCCGAACACTTTCTGCCCGTTGCGCCTTTTCACACACGCAGCACAGAAAGTTACGTCGCCAGTTAAGTAATGTACAGCAGCGGCCACGTCTGTGTAGGGCGCGCGAGGAGTCAGTTTTCTCTCCACGGGGCGAAACCTCGAGGCAGCTTGATTGATTGATTGATATGTGGGGTTTAACGTCCCAAAACCACCATTTTGATTATGAGAGACGCCGTAGTGGAGGGCTCCGGAAATTTAGACCACCCGGGGTTCTTTAACGTGCACCCAAATCTGAGCACACGGGCCTACAGCATTTCCGCCTCCATCGGAAATGCAGCCGCCACAGCCGGGACTCGATCCCGCGACATGCGGGTCAGCAGCCGAGTACCTTAGCCACTAGACCACCGTGGCGGGGCCGAACCACACGAACAATTATCCTTTAGTACTTTCGGATTGACGTCAACCTGCCTGAAAACCTCGAATGTAAAACATACTGGCTATAGACGCAACTGAGTAGACTACACATAAGCTACGTCACGTCTTGGCTATATACGTCGCGCCTTTTAGTTGTATTGTAAGTGCGCTAAACCTATAAAAAATACTGTATACATGAGAGCTTCGGGCTCTGAAGTGCTGTATCGGAAGCATGTGCGGCTTAGCTGTCAGGCTGACCACATCGGAGCCCGAAACTGCCTCGAGGTTTCGCCCAGCGGAGCGAAAACCAGCTCCACGCACGCTCTACACAGACGTAGCCGCGGCTACACTTCTGCGGATACTCACACACACCCAATTATGACCGACCCTAAACATGTTTGGGGAAGGAAAAGAATGACACGTAGATTAAGCCAAGATTAAGCAGGCACATCAACTAAACATCGGCCAGCAGTGGTTCAGCTCAGCTTGCTTCAACGTACCACGTAACCCTTAGAGCAGAACAAAACGAGCTATCTACGCGACGGAAGCAGCATTCAGGAAACGATCTCGAACTGTGCCAGTTATCCCGAGCAATCGATGCTTTTGGAGCGCCGTGCATCAAACACATGTGCGTGTTATAGTACGCGGCGCCGGTCTGCCGCCGGTAGCAAATTGCTCGAAAGCGACAGGAAGGGATTTTTGAAGCGATCAAAAACTCGAAACGAAAACAAAGATGGGCCGCGATCGACTAAACAAGCGTAGCAGACGACAAACGGGCAGACGACGTTTAAGCCAGTCGCTCTTTTTTCTTTTTTGCAAGGCAGACGACACACAGCACTGTACCAATGGGAAATCGTCCCCAGACATCGCATGTTTCACGTCACAGTCATCCCGTCAAGCTCGTCACTTCCACGAGGAAAACACTAGAACAGTAATGATAGTCGCGAACAGCTATAGCTAGCGACAGAGCGTTGCTGCTAATGCGAGCGCCTCGACAAATGAGCTCTGGCGATGACCCGCTTTCGTGTCCGGTCTAGGATGGTACTTAACGAGTGAACACCGACAGAAATCGTGCTTTTAGTGAATGTCAAGAGCGAAAGGGGCGGGGCATATCGCCAATTTTCGGGTCCAAGATTAAAGTAAACTCGGTATGAGCGTCGCAGCAGCGGTTCAAGGTGTCCTAGACAGGAACGAAGCAGGCACTATACTACGTTCGTACGCAGACACTCGCGTGCGTTTTTGTTTTTGTTTTTTCTCTTCGGCCCGAAAACCGCACCGACCGAACCCACCGCTACTGGCAAGCCGACTGACGGCTCGTCAATCAACCGTGCTTCGATGCGAACAGCCACAGAGGCGACGCTGCCCGTGTATTACGTACAAAAGCCACCTCGCTCGCTTCTTCTCCACGACGACCTTTCCTCACTAGAAACAAAAATCGAGAAAGAAAAAACAGAGGCGGCGTCGACGCACGCTAAACTTTCTCTCCTGGAACAACGGCAGGGCCATGCCGCCGGTCGCGCTAGCGTTTCATTCTGAGACCCCGAAAATAGTCGAACCGGCGAGGCCAGGCCCGCACGAACTAGCCGCCGCGAGGCATCGGCCCGGAGAAGTGAAGGAAAAGAAAGAAAAAAAAGTAAGGAAAAGCGGGTTTTGCGTACCTGACAGCAGACGTTGCTCGGCGAACACCGCCGGACCGGGCCAGCCGCAGAAGGCCAGAAAGCAGACGAAAAGCAGTGCGGTCAGCGACATGCCGACCCGCCGCGACAACATCTCGCCGCCGCCACAACTGCCGCTGGAAATCCACGGCAACCGCGTTTCAGGCGGCACGGCACCTAAACAGAAGCACTGCGTTCACGCTCACACCGGCGACGGACCACATGGTCGCCGCAGTTTTTTGGGGGGCACAGGCACACAGCTGATCTCAAAAGCCCTAACCGATGCAGACGACGTTGGGACGACCCGGCGATGATGATAGCTGGCGGCGGGCCCAGGTGCGACGCCTCTGAAGAAGCTCGGAAGGCGCTTTACGCACGTGAAAAAAAAACAGGGTCGCAGACACGAGCACGTTGCGGGTCACTCGGATTGCGCGGAAAGCACCAGGTAAGATGCATTCATTGGCACTCAGACACTGCCGTCCCCGCCGCCGGCATTGAAGTCGCTTCGCGGGCACGCGCCACACCGCTCCTCGGGGTACCTCAACTCGTAGTGAAGTGCTGCCCGCCGAAGAACTCCAGCACCTCGGCTGCTCCCCCCACTGTTCCCTCCGCAGTCGCCTACTCTTTCGTGTCTAGGTTCGTTTTCTTTTTGTTTTTGCGTATGAAGCGCTCCGAAATCAGATAGGGAGCGCCCTCTGCGCGCTATTTTCGCTACTAACGCGCCTGCCGGCGCGCTCCGCGTATTCTTGGCCCTCTATCGAAAGCAGGCCGCATTTCCAGCCTCCGAGCATAGCCGATTGCGCGCCGTGGGGTATCTCAGGGGCTATGCTCCAAAATTTTTTTTTTCTTGCAGTAAGATCAAAATCCTGTTTGAGTAAGATTTGATAGAACATAGCAACAGAGCTTGGGAAAATACGTGTAGACAAGAAAGCGTGGACCTTGGCACGCTTGGTTGAACATTTCGGGAGGCGACAGAAGACTGCCCTGCTTTTATTAAACGTGATACGGAGCAACGGTACCGTCGCAATGATTGTTTGTAACAGCATTAGCACCGTGATTAACATGGCCTCCGACACTAGAGTGCAGTCAGTGCGGTAAGAGCGCGTGAGTTTAAGCGCGTGGAAGAGTCAAAGTATGGATAAACTACTACTACTACTACTACTACTACTACTACTACTACTACTACTACTACTACTGCTGCTGCTGCTGCTGCTGCTGCTAATATTAATAATAATAATAATAATAATAATAATAATAATAATAATAATAATAATAATAATAATAATAATAGAGATGGACATTAAATTTAAAAATGGGCAATAAATTAATTAAGAGATGGACGTTACATTTAATTAAGAATATTAATAATAATAAGTTAGGTCAAACCACGAAAGAGGGTAGAAACACGAAATAAAACACTCACAAGCCAACAATTCAAAAACCGCGAAAACGCACAGATCAGGGACCGCATTGAAGACTTGTTACGCTAAGTATATTCGGAAGAGAATATTCCAGCTAATCACGATACGGAACCGATCACTAGTGAAGCCGGCTTATAGATGGCGAAAAGCGCTTGAGGAAGATATGCGCATGAAACACATAATAAAGACTCCTATCCGAGTGAGAATCAAGCCCATGGAGACCGTCTGGGTGGCAAGCGGATAATTCGGCGCAGAGCTGCGCGATTGCTTGACACTGCTTCGGAAAACAGCACTATCAAAGTCATGTAGTGGATGGAGCCTGCGTTTAACGCATGTAATGTTGCGTGGCGGAAGCGTATACAATCTCGCCATGCGTGAAAACACAACAAGAAGGGAAATTGTGCTGTTAGTTATCGAAAATGAAGTAAAAACCGTGTGATTAAAGTCGCAACCGTCACAAAGCACTCAAACATATGTTCGCGAGTTGCCTTATGGAGGCAAAGTGGGCTTTTCGCTGATTCGAAAAACGTGGGTGCAGTAGCCACTTATGGTAAATGCACTCGCAGTATAGGCATTCTGGGATAGTTTGAAACAGGCATATGGTCTGTCGTAGGTCAGAGCGGTGGCCTGCCGTAACTTAATGGGAAATAGGCGAAAAAAAAATTATGTCTCACGAAAAAAAAAAAAAGATATGTATGCAAAACCAACTCCCAGTTCTATACAGCAGACACTTAGTTGAAAAGTCTGACAAAGTTTAAGGGCGGCTTTATAAACCACGTGGCTTCCCAGAGTGTTTAACATTTAACAATGGAACCCTATGTGTTTCTATGGGTGGTGTTCGATTGTCCTGTGAAGCCACAGTCTTTGTAGTGCGATTCTACAATTTTACCAAAATGTACCAGTAAGCCTCTGCTGCATATAACCCGGAGCCGTTTTGGATAAATAGATGTTTTTTGAATAGATGTGATTTTTCTCATCTGCTTCCCATTCAGTTGTGGCAGGCTGCCGTTCCTGCTGCTGAAAGATGGTGCCACATTGTCATCCCCAATTCCTGAGAATGTTATAAGGTGTCGTGCTGATCTGCAAAACGCACATTTGGAATCTGCGTTAAGTGACACAGAACACGTGTTCCAGTGTCCGGATTCGACAACGCCTGTAATTGGCCACAATATTTCGGCCGAAGACGACATCGAACACGACACGTACTTACACGTTGGCGGATTCGAACGCTTGCAGTACGCTGTCGAAGTATTGAGCACTTTCCATTCTACATTTGGGGAGGAATTTACCGCGGCCATCGGAAACACACGAAAGCAAGTGGAAAGCGTGAAAGAAAAAAGGTCAAACGCTCAGTAGTACAATCTGTGTATTTTAAAGCAAAAGCTCGACTCCTCTTGTAGACACACAGGAACCGCCTCGTTCCATTAATCTGGCCTTCGATCTTACTAAATGCCAACGCGAGCGAAAAGCTTTCGGCAAAATATTTGCGAAAAAAATTAACAACGGCTCAAGGTGAGCCTTTCACGCACCTCTTCCACTTTTATGAACGGAAAATGCGTATAGATATTTTCATATTCGACCACCTCAAGCAATGTTACATAAAACGTGAATTCCGTGTTTTGATGTATTTTATTCTGTTTTTGTGACAGTATTTTTGTTTTATTCTGAAATAAATTGAAAAATATCACAATTTGTCTACTTTATGTATGCATGAAGCACCATGTACATTTAATCACAGTATTGACTCCTTTTTATGTTTTGTACTGCTTTTCTTGCTGATAATAAAGTGCAAGTTAGTTGTTTCAATTATTTGTTGACATAATTTGTATATATTTTATTTGTGTATTGCATTATTAGTATGTCTGTGGCCAAATGCTGACCCGAGCCCAAGATAGACGGGGTGGGCTTAGTCGAGCTGCCTAAAAGCAGCTTTTCTCACACCTCGTGGTCTGTATTGCTCATGAAATAAGCATCTATTCTATTCTAATCTGTTCTATTATATTCTATTCTAATCCACCACTTGAGGCGCTGGCTGCTGGATCCAAGCCTACTGCGCGTCCATGGATGGATGGATGGATATGGCTGTACCCTTTAGATCGGGCGGTGGCTAGCGCCACCAAGCCAACAGCCCCGGCGGCGCCAAGCGGCGTCACTGCGCAACACGTTGGCTCCCTTGTCGCTGGATGCACCGGAAGCGTATGTATGATTCTCGACGCCCTTACCTGAACCAAGGCACGCGATAAGGTTGAATCTCAGCAAAACAATGGTTGCCTTCTTTCCCAAATCAATCAAAAGAGAAGAACTGTTCGAGCCGCCTCCACCAATCGGAAGAGGTTCACGGCGGTGTACACACGAGAACTTTCAGAAATCGCGCTGCGCGAGTTCATGGCTGCAAGCGCAGTGCGACACCAGAAATTAAATGACGAGGTGCCGACATGGTGCAGACCTTATGTTTTTTTTTTCGCTTAATTTACTCCATCAACCTAACTTTGACATCCGGCAAGACGCGCATGGTGCAGTTCACGATGCGCAATCGTCTTGGCAAGATACACAGCGTATGCGCCCTCTACGCCTGAAGTCTCCTTCATCTATCTACTCGGCTGCTAGTGCGCGTGCACACTCTAGTGCACCGAGCCGGCACCATACGTACTTCTCGAAGAACTCTGGGTACAAACATAGAACACATGCTCTAGCAGAGAGCCCGGTCACAGTCAATAACAACTCCGGGTCAGGTCGGATGCGGCCCTCCGTAGCCCTCTTCTGGCCTGTGGGTTGTTCAAGAGGCCCACAATGTGGTCTAAAAGCTTGGCCTTCCACGGTCCCTGAGACACGACGTTCTCCACTGCCGTCGTGCATGAAGAAGATACGGTCGGGTTCGTCGACTCTCCGACTACGGTGCAGAGATGGAACTCGAAGCAGGTCGTCTACAAACACGGGATTGTACGTGGGAGCGGCTCAGTGCGTGTTTAGACACGATTAGGATTAAGATGTTGTAGGTAGCCGGCGGATCTAGCCTTGCATAATTTGCAGGCAACTGTCCCGCCCGGTTTCTACTTTGTTAATTGCATATAATGAACTTCTGTTTTTTAACTAAACACGAGGAGGCTCTTGAAGAAAATCGAGCATAGCGCGACGTAAGCCTGCATAAGACGGTGGCCTCTGTGCTATTCCACATGCAGTATCGTGCGGGTAATCTATCTCGCTGCACCATACCCCTAACATCATTATCACCAGTCACATGCGAGGTCTGTAGTATTCAAGAATTTCAAAAGAAGTCACGACACCTGTTTCCTGAAGATCGAGTGACCACGCGAAAGCACAATATCAGTCCCACTGTCACATGGCGAGCCTAAACGACGTTGCAGTTCCTCAAATTAACCTTGCCATTCCTTCTTATGCTAACGACGCTTAAGCAAATAGTGTTATATATCACCATTTTCCTTGCACTTCGGGCACAAGGACATCGCTCTGGATGACCTTATTAAACTTTTTTCCATACCACATCCTACCACCAGCATATGGGCGCAGGGGAATCCTGAAACAGCGCTGCGCCTCATCTTTAAAATGACGTGGCGTGGTTCAGACGACGTCATTGCTACACCGCTGAAGAGAATGGCAAGGTGCAGCAGCTCGTGAACTACTCCGGTGGTGCAGGTGAATCGAAAGGACCTCGAGATATCACTCGAGAAACGCGGTTTAACTACGTTCAACCACGGAAAATTTTAACGTCACCGCGTTTCCCAGAAATTCCATTGCCGGCGTCGTGGGTTGTTGACGAAAAATCGGTGTTGTCCGTAAGTACAGTCGAACCTACTTATAACAATACTCAAGTGCTATGAAGATTTTATTGTTTTAATTTATAACATTTAACCAATTGTTGCTATAACGAGGTTGCACGAAAAAAAAAACATGCCAGGCTGTTTAGAATATGCCATCAGACATCAGTGATAAGGATAACATGGCTGTCGATTTTTCGGACCTGTTTGAAAATTGGGACGCTTTCACGGAATTACCACATACCTTATAGAGACAATGACAACATCTGAAGTTTTGGATGCTGAAACTCTTCTATGTCACAACTTTTTAATCAGACTGCTTCTCCGAAAGCGAATTAACAGAAGCCACCGCTGCTCCCTCGCCGCAGCGCACTTTGAAAGCCATCTTGG